GTAGGCACTCTACCAGTGAGCCACATCCTCAGCCTTTGCCCTTGGTTTTTTTTGAGACAAGATCTCACTATGTAGCTCAAGTAAGCCTTGAACTTATCATGTAGCTCAGTAAGGTTGGCCTAGAACTCCAGATCCTATTGCTGCCACCTCCCAAATCCTGGGATTACAGATATGCCATTACACCTGCCCAGCTTTCTGGTAGTTTTTCTTGTTGTTTGGAGACAGGGTCTCACTATGTAGCCCTGGCTGCTCTTGGAACTTGCTATGTGGACCAAGCCGGTTTGGAACCCACAGATATCTGCATACCCCTGGAGGTCTTGGATTAAAGGCGTGTGCCACCATACCTAGCCCCAGAACCCTCTGGTGGGGGGGGGTTGAAGTTTTGCTCCTTTTTTTCTTTTTTGTTTTGGTTTGTTTTTAAGTATGGGCTTGTTTTTAAGTTTCTCATTTTTATTTAGTGGGCCTGTTTATTTTGAGTGTTCTTCTCACTTGGGAAGGGCTCATTGTTTTTGATAAATCTTGCTTACCCTTTATGCTCTGCAGTCTTTCTCTTTTGAAGCTTCTTTTGAAGTGCTGAGGATTAAACTCAGAGCCTCCAGCATGCTAGTCAACTGCAGTGCTCCACCTTTGAATTACATCCCTAACCTGTTTTGTTGTTTGTTTTGTTTTGTGTTTGTTTTTGGTGACAGGGCCTCATGTTTGATCAAACTGGCTTTGAACCCCCATCCTCCTGAGTGCAGGATTACAGGCATGTACCACTATGTCCTGCCCTTTGGGGAACTTCTTTGGTAGAAAATGGAACTTCTGAGTCTTATTCCTGATGTCACTAGTTAATGTTCATTTCATACCTTCCAGGACTCTCTTTCTTCTTACTTCATTTGGAGAGAATTTGCCCATTCGTTCTTTCCCTCAGCTGTGTTTATTTTACCTTGCATTCTCTATGCCTCTTCCCTCTGTGGTGGTATTTCCAGGTTCTCCATGAGCCTTTCTTCTGACTGCTTTCGCTCTCAAATTGTCACCATTTTCCCCTTGCTTACTTATCTGTAACTTAAAAGTTTGCTCTGATTCCTTTATGAACTCTTCTGCAGGGTCCATTCCTCCCTTTGCTGATATGCATTCTCTTGTGTAATCAGTATTTCTCAGATGTTTGGCATTTGAGGAAATGTCTGGAGGGAAGATGGTGACTTCTCAGAGGGTGCCGCGCTCTGTGTGTTGTAGTAAGAATCAGATATGCGAGTACTCGGAGGACAGTAATGTGGGTGCTCTTGCTGCTGGGCCTCTCCAGTGCTGTGGACCTACTGTGTTTCTGCCATCCTCATTGCCTCCAGTCTCCCTCATCCACATCCCACATCCTCCCACCGGCAGAACAGCCTGGTGTGTGTGTCTCATGATGGAGCAGTTTACCTGGGCTCTTGTTATGTGATTCTCCAAATGATGGCCCTCTTGGGTGTCTTCACACCCCCTCTGCCTCAGAATTCTTATCATTCAGAGTTTGGCTTCAGGTTTCTCTCGCATCTGCTCTTTTCTATTTCTTTCTTTCTTTTTTCTTTTCTTTTTGTCTTTTTGAGACAGGGTCTCCCTGTAGTCCCAGCTGGCCTGGAACTCACTATATAGACCAGGCTGGCCTTGAACTCACAGAGATCTGCCTGCTGGCTTAATTCTTTCTTTTTTAAAAAATATTTTATTATTTTTTTATGTGTATGAGTATAATGCCTGCATAGGTGCACCTGTGTTCTACAGTGCCCACAGAAGTCAGAAAATGGTATTGGATCCCCTAGAACTGGAGTTACAGATGGTTATTAGCCACCATGTGGGTGCTGGGAATTGAACCCGGGGCCTCTGCAAGAGCAGTCAGTCCTCTTAATTGCTGAGCCATCTCTCCAGCCCCCTGTTCTATTTCTTAGGGGGTTCTCAAACCTTCTCTTTTATTCTTAGGGATTTAGTTTGGGAAGGCTTTAACATGATGACATCCTATTTTTACAGTTTACGATCTACTTTAAAATGTTTTATTTAGCTGGAATAATATAATATGCAGCCTTTTGCTTCTAGCATCTTTTCACAGTGTGAGGCTTTCAAAGTTTATCCCTGTTGTAGCTTGAATTAGCACTCTAGCCCCTTTTCATGGCTGATTCATATTCTGTTTATGAATATGTCACAGCCTATATATTCATTTATGAATTGATGAGCATTAGGCTTTGAATACTTCCTAGCTATTGTAAGTGAACATTCATATGCAAGTTTTTGCTTGGGCATATATTCATTCTTAATTAATTAATTAATTTTGTGTTTTTGAGACAGGGTCTTCCTGTAGCACCACCTGGCCTGGAACTCACTATGTAGACCAGGCTAGCCTCAATCTCACAGAGATCCGTCTGCCTCTGCCTTGCATGTGTTGGGACTAAGGGTGTACATCACCATGCAGCATATGTTCTTTTAAAAATTATATTCCTAGGACTGCAGAGATGGCTTAGTGGTAGGGAGCACTGGCTGCTCTTGCAGGAGACCTAGGTTCAAGTTCTAGCACCCACATGGCAGCTATTGGCTGTCTTTGGCTCCAATTCCAGGGGATCTGTGGGCATTGCATGGCACTGCATGACATGGGTGCACTTGCATACATTTGGGCAATACACTCATACACATGGAATAAAAAAAAATTAAATAAATAAATAAATAAAGTTAAAAAAATATATTCCTGAGCTGGGTGTGGTGGTGCATGCCTTTAATGGGAGGCAGAGGCAGGTGGATTGCTGTGAGATCAAGTCCAGCCTGGTTGACATAGTGAGTTCCAGGCCAGCTGGGGCTACAGGGACACGCTGTCTCAAAAAAACAAAAACAAAAAAAGTATATTTCTACTGGTGGGATTGCTGGGCCATGTTACAGTTCTATATTGAAGCTTTTAAGGAAGTGTCAAATTATTTTTCAAAGTGTACTGTTTTACATTTCTACCAGCAGTACGAAAGAGCTCCAGCTTCCCAGCACATGCCGTACTACTTTGTTTTTTTAAAAAAATTATTTATTTTTATTTTATGTGTATGAGTGTATTGCCTGCATGTATGTAAATGCACCTGCATCATGCAGTGTCTATGAAAGTCAAAAGAGGGTGTCAGATCCCCTGGAACTGGAGTTGCAGATGGTTGTTAGGTGCCATGTGGGTGCTGGGACTCAAACCTGGGTCCTCTCTAAGAGCAGTCAGTGCTCTTAACTGCTTAACCATCTCTTGAGCCCTAATACTTGCTACTTTCTGTAAGTAGGCATCTCACTGTGCTGGTTTTAACATGTATTTCCATGGTGGTTGATATGTGGGACCTTTCTTCATATGCTTATTATATGGTCTTTAGAGAAATAGCTTTAGATCCTTGGCTCATTTTCCCCTTGGGTTATCTTACTATTGAGTTTTAGGGGTTCCTCATACATTTAGAGATTAGAGCCTTGTGGTTTAAAAATGCTTTCTTCCATTATGGTAGTTGCCTTTTCTTTAATTAAAAGAAAAGAATTTATTTTATTTTTATTTGTGTGTGTGTGTGTGTGTGTGTGGTGTGTGTGTGTGTGTGTGTGTGGTGTGTCTGTGTGTGCCTGTGTGTGTCTGTGCATGTGGGTACAGGCATCCATTGAGGCCAGAAGAGGGCATCAGATCTTCTAGAGCTGGAGTTACAGGTTGTGTCACTCAACATGGGTGCTAGGAACCAATCCCAGGTCCTCTGTAAGAACAGCAAATACTCTTAACCGCTGAGCCATCTCTCTAGCCCCATCTTTTTAAAGTGTTGATCACGTGCACTTTGGGTGTCCCTTCTGCTTGGTTACTTGTGCTTTTGGTGTCACAGCTGAGAACCCATGGCCTGATCACATCACCAAGGTATGTTTCTTTCAAAGAGTTTTGTAGTTTTAGCTTTTAAATTGAGGTGTTTGTCCATTTTCAGTTAACTTGTATGTGGTATCAGGTAAGAGTTCAACTTTATTCTTTTGCGTGTGAATGACCAGTACCTTTTGTGTGCGGATGATCCAGTACATTTTGCTGAATGAGTCTGCATGCTATGTAGCCCAGGCTTGTCAAGAACTCTTGACTCACCTGCTTGAGTCTTAATTATTTTAGGCCCTTGATTTCATTTAACTAGCATAACAGTCCTGTGAAATGTTTATTGTCATTATCATTTCCATTTTATTTTTATTTATCTATTTATTCATTTGCTTATTTATTTATTTTTAGATAGGATCTCACGATGCAGCTATGGCTGGTTTGGAACCAGCTATATAGACTCAGCTGGCTTTGAATTCACAGAGAGCTGTCTAACTTTGCCTCCTGAGTGCTGGGATTAAAGGCATGCTCCACCACATCTGGTTGAGTCTTTTTTTGGATCACACAGAGCCTTAGTTACAAGAGATTGTGAGTTACTAGATGTGGGTGCTGGGAACCGAACTCAGGTAGGTCCTCTGTAATACCAGCCTCTGAGCCATCTCCAGCCCCAATTAATTTAAATTTAAATAGTTGTCTGTGGTTATCTTACTGATGGTGGGAGCCAGGAGTAGGTGGGCCTGACCTGCCTTTCACAAGCTTTCACGCATTCTCTCAGTCTGAATCTAAGGCTTCTGGTTTGTGCCTGTTTTTTCCAGGCCTTGAGGCCCATGAGAATACTGGTCAGAAGAGGGTAACCAAGGGCACCTCTTTAGTGCATAGGCACTCTGTTGGCCACATGAAGGAGAATGTGGCTTAAGACCTGAGTTCCTTTGTGGACAGGCTGCTCTAGGAAGCCTCTGCTTTTTGTATTTCAAGTTCCTGCTCAGGATGCCAAGCTGTGCATCTGGACTGTGCTCCTCTGAGATGTATGAGGGAATGAGAGCATTTCAGGGTTTTTCATGCCCCCACACTGTCCTATGAGTGGCCAGTGGAGGAAACACTATTTGGAAGAGTAGCACCTGAGTCATAGATCCATCTGAGGTGGAAGTGAAACTCCGGATCAAGCACTGTCCACCACTCACTCTGTTTTGTTTCATGGTTTCTCTAGTTTTGGACTTCAGTGACCCTTTCAGTACTGAGGTGAAGCCCAGAATCTTGCTCATGGGTCTCAGGAGGAGCGGCAAGTCATTGGTTCAGAAAGTCGTCTTTCACAAAATGTCTCCCAACGAGACCCTGTTCCTGGAGAGCACCAACAAGATCTGCCGGGAAGACGTCTCCAACAGCTCCTTTGTCAACTTCCAAATTTGGGACTTCCCGGGACAGATTGACTTTTTTGACCCTACATTTGACTATGAGATGATCTTCCGGGGAACAGGAGCACTGATCTTTGTCATTGACTCCCAGGTACAGCCAAGTCTCACCAAAGGCAGCACTTCCCTCCATTTTTATTGCGTGTGTGTGTGTGTGTGTGTGTGTGTGTGTGTGAGAGAGAGAGAGAGAGAGAGAGAGAGAGAGAGAGAGAGTCAGCAGACAACCCTTGAGAGTCTATTCTCTCCTGTACCTTGTGGTATGTGAGGATCAAACTGAGGTCCTCAGGCCTGTGTGTCACATCTATCTGCTGAGTCATCTCATGGACCCTTTGGCTTGTTTTTTCAAAGCTACAATAGGCCTTTCTGCCAAACAAAGGTTTCTTAAAGACTTTTGCAAAGGAAGAAAGGCTCTCTATGTCCTACCATGGCCGACACTCAGCCCACCTGAGGGGCCTTTCACACCTCAGCAAATCATAGACCTAGGAAAACCTCACAGATGTAGGTCAGAGCTCTGCAACAAGATCCTGCTTATGTGTTTATTATGTAGATAAAATTCTAAGTGAAAAATTTTCCTCTGAATCAAATTAGTAGTAGTAGTGGTAGTGTGCACTTGATCAATGCTGTTTTATATACTTGTAGACAACTGTAAAAAGTAAAATTTGAGATGAGTATTTCTCTTAAGAAGTTGTTATTTGATTTTTTTTTCCCATTTAATTCACATCTGTGCTTGGATAACACAGGATTTGAACCAGTTCTACTTTTATTTTTTGTTCCTGTAGCTGTGAGTACTGGGAAAGTATGTTCACATAGATAATTTGGTAGATATGAGGGTGAGTCTTGTTATAGCATTTATTCGATTATTTAAAATACTTCCATGTTAAATCTCCCACATATGTAGTTTACTCTCATGAACAATTATTTTTAGTAGTTTATTAGCAGATCTGAATAAGGCTTCCTTCAACTTTGCTGTAAGTGAAAAATAGGGATCTCTTGACCAGTGAGCATCCTTGTCCCAGGAGTCAGTCATTCTCTCCGTTGAGGCATAGACTTTTCTGACTGGCTCTTTGACATCTGGGTTCCCGCAGGTCAGTGGGGAGAGAAGTGGGAGACAGCTGCCTCAAGCTGACCTGTGATGATGAGAGTGTGTAGTGGGAATGCAGCCCTGGTGCTCTGCACACAGTCTTAGTGTTTGGACTGTGACTTAGATTGGTCTTCCCAGGCTCTCCAGCTGTGTGCTAAGCCAGAAAGTGCCCTGTCTGGAGGTCGGCGTCCAGAGACCCCAGAGATGCTGGGAGACTGTTGTAATCATGTCTTGAAGTCTATGTTCTCACATATGAAGCTGTTCTCACATATGAGTGCATCAGTTACTAGGTGCCTCTTAGTATTATAGAAGTAATACTTGTAGAAAAGCATTGGGTGCCACTGTGTAGTTGTGTAGCTCTGTGGGTGGACAGGATTCTATCTTTCCTTCAGGGAAGGTGTGGAGGGGCTGTGGAGGGGGCTCACTCTCTACATAGGCCCACCCAGAGCTTTTGCATAGATCCCTGCACACACCTAGAGCCTGCAATTAGCACTCATTTTCCTGGCTGTCCCACCTCACTGACCTGTTTTCTGGCCCATCTGAGGTCTTGGCCAGCTCCCCTGCCCTGTCTGTCTCCTAGCACCTACATTCAGGGAGGTTAGTGCCGTACTGGGGAAGGGGATCCATCTTCCTCTAAGTCACCCCATGCAGTTTCTGTAGTGTTTAAGCAGCAGTGACATAATCCTGCCCACAAGAAAGTGGATTGCAATCAGACTTTAAGATCATTTTAAGATGATGGCTTAGTAAATACACAAACACTATATTGTGCTTACGTAGCAATTGCAATGCAAATCCAAGGTATTTATAATATGACTGTAATTTGACTCAAACCAGATATATTTGTTTATTTTTATTTTTATTATTTATTTATTTTTATTTTATGTGTATGAGTGTTATGCCTGCATATGTGTAAGTGCACCCGTGTTGTACAGTGCCCTTGGAGGACAGAAGGCATCGGATTCCCTGGAGCTGAAGTTATGGATGATTGTTAGCTGTCATGTGGGTTGTGGAATTCAAACCTATGTCATCTTCAAGAACAGCCAGTGCTCTTAACCACTGACACATCTCTCCAGCCCCTTATTTTTATTTTCTAATTATTTATTTACTTTAAAGATTTATTTTTAATTATGTGTATATGTGTGTGTCTGTGCACTTGAGTGCAGGTGTTCTTGGAGGCCAGAGGTGTTGGATCCCTTGGAGGTAGAGTTACAAGTGGTTGTAAGCTGCCTGCCCCACCATCCTGGGTTCTGGGAACCAGACTGGAGTCCTTTGCAAGAGCAGAATGTGCTCTTAACAGCCGAACAGCTGAGCCCTCTCTCCAGCCCACATTTAGATAGGTAGTTTGATTTCTTTCTTTCTTTCTTTCTTTCTTTCTCTTTCTTTCTTTCTTTCTTTCTTTCTTTCTTTCTTTCTTTCTTTCTTTCTTTCTTTCTTTCTTTCTTCTTTCTTTTTTACTATATAGTCCTAGCTAGCGTGGAACTCAAAGAGATCTGCCTACTTTTGCCTTTAAGTGCTGAAATCAGATACGTGCATCCATACCTGGGTTTTGATCTTAATTTTATCTGAACATGGAAAGAATGATAAATGTCTTTCTTATCCTAGTTTTCTTTCTTCTTTTTTAGCTATAGGTCACATGAAGTTGTAAGAATGTGAGATTCTATCTCTCTCCCTCTACTCTGCTTCTCTCCTCTCCTTCTTTCCCTCTTATTTCTTCCTGCCTTTTCTTTCCTTGAGACAGGGTCTCACACTGTTGCTCAGGCTGGCTTGAACTCATTTTGTAGCCCTGACTAGACTTGAACTCACAGTAGCCTTCCTGCCTCAGGTTCTTAGAGAGTGCTGGGATTACAGGCATGAGCACCACGCTTGGTGAGATTTATCTTTTAGGTTACACTTATATGTATGCCAGCAAAACACTCATACACATAAAATAAAAAATAAATAAATTTTAAAAATAATTATTTGAGCCAGTGTGGTGGCACATGCCTTTAGTCCCAGCACTTGGGAGGCACAGGCTGGTGGATCTCTGTGAGTTTGAGGCCAGCCTGATCTCCATAGTGAATACAAGCCAACGGTGGCTACAGGGAGACCTTGTCTCAAAAAGACTAAAATAATAATAATAATAATAATTGATTGATTTCAAACCCTACTGCTTAGTTGCTAGACGCAGACTACAAAAACAATGTTTCATGGATCTTGCCCGACATCCTTACAAGTGGGAAGAGGTTAATCAGATCTTCAGGAAGCTCCTCAATGCACTTGTGTACGCTTTCCTATTCCTTTTTAAATCTTAAAAAATAGTTTATATTTTTAATTTTATGTATATGAGTGTATTGCCTGAATGTATGTAAGTGCACCCATGTTATGCAGTGCTTGTGAAGGTCAGAAGAGGGTGTTGAATCCCCTGGAACTGGAGTTACAGATGGCTATTAGCTGATATGTTGGTGCTAGATATGTTTGGTTCAGAGGACTGAACCAAAGTCTTTTGTAAGAGCAGCCAGGGCTCTTAACCACTGAGCCGCCACCTCTCCAGCTCCTCCTTTCTTCCTTTTTTAAAAAATAAGTATTTTCTTTTATTCTGTTTGTTGTATGATGTGTGTTGGCACTGCACCCCATGGAGCATGTGTGAAAGTCAGTGAACAACTTTATGGAGTTGGTCTTCTCCTCCTATCTTTTCATAGGTTCCAGGGACTGAACTCAGATTGTCAGGCATATGTGGCATGTCCCTTTACCCACAGAGCCATCTCAGCAGTCCCTTTTCTTCATTTCTAAGTGGGGTACTTTGGTCTGAAACTTCCTATTTTTATTTTTTTGCCCAGGAATTCCTCAAAGGTCACAAAGTTTCCAGATAAATATATAAAATCTACAAGGAGAAAAAGTGTCCTTACTGAATGCTGTGAAGAAAAAAAGAACAAAACCCAAGTGATTTTGCATGGGCTAAATGTGTGATGCCTGGCCTGCAGAGACCAGCGAGTGTACCATATCTCCTGTAGTCCTTCCACACAGTCCGTTAGGCCTAGAGTTCCCACTGACTCATACTAAGTTGATCGTGACCTACGTATAACTTCTAGATCTAATAGCAGGCTAGAAACTAGAGTATATCTTTTATTTTTTATTTATTATAAACAACAATTTAACAATCATAGTGGAGATGTTGGAGAAATGGCTGTATGAGTAAGAGAGCTTGCTATACAAAAAGCTGGGTATGACCACACACATGCCTGTAACCTCAGTGTTGTGGAATGGGGCAGAGACAGGATGATCACTGGGGTCTATTGACTCTCAGTATAGTTCCAGGTTCAACAGGAGACCCTGTCTCAGGAGAGTAAGGTAGAGGGGCTGGAGATGGCTCAGCAGTTAAGAACACTGGCTGCTCTTACAGAGGACCTGGGTTCGATTCCCAGCATCTACATGGTGGCTAACAACTCTCTATAACTCCAGTTCCAGCGGAATCTGATGTCCTCTTCTGATCTTTATGGGTGCTGCACAATGTGGGTGCACTTACATACATGTAGGCAATATACTCATACACATAAAATACAAATAAATAAAATACTGAAAAAGAGGGAGTTCTCTTTAAAGATATAAGCCATAACAATTTTTGAGATGGAATTTACATGCAGTAGAATGCACTCATTTTTAGTACATAATTTAATGGGGTTAACAAATGCGTCTCCCATGTAACTATCCCTAGAGGCTCCTGTGGGCCCTTTCATGTACTGTCCGTCCCCTAGTGCCCATCCCTAGGCAAACACAGATGTGCTTCTTATCCCTATAGATTAGCTGCCTTTTCTAGAGCTTCATATATTTGGAGCTGTTAGGTAGTAGGTTTAGATTTTAGTGCTTAGTCCCCTGTCGTGGTGCCTAGTGTATGCCTTTATTTAAAAGGTATTCAGAGGGTGAAAGACGAGGGCTACATTGGTTATTTTCTTCTTTCTTAGTTGCCTAGTGAAATATTTAATATTTTGATTTATCTAGAGACTAAGGCTTCCTTTTTACTAGTTTAGTTTGGAGAATTGAGGAATGCAGAAATAATCTCCCTCCCTTCCCATGAAAAAGACCCTCCTTCTTTGTTATCCTGGCCTTTGTTTTCCAGCTTTGGAGTCGTACTAGAGCTCAGAATGGGATGGGGAAGTAGTATGAGGTCCTTTAGATTTCTTTCTCTAGATACCTTTCTCTCTCTTCTTTTTTTGTAAAAACAAGACCTGTTCACCCCCCTCAAACTGACAATAATTCAGAAACCAGAGCAACTAGGTATTGATGAGTCTGCCTAGAGCAGTAGGTGCCTGCAAGCTGTCTGGCCCTGGTCAGGGACTCACAACTGTGAACACAGAGCAGCCTTTGGGAAAAACTGTGTGTTGAAAAGACTGTTACTGCATCACTGTACTGACATTTCATTGGACACATTTGGATGTTCATCAATAGATCAGTACATAGGATATGGACCATTCATAAAGTGAAATTTCAGAGTGAACCTCCCAGGCATAACCGGAACATGGTATCATTTATTTTTTTACTACATTTTGCTTTGCAGCAGGGGGCAGGAGGGGGTGGGCCGTGATGTAGGTGTGGAGGTCAGAGGACAGATAGTGGGGTCTGGTTCTTTCCTTCCATCATGTGTGTTCTGGGGATGGAACTTAGAGGAACTCAGGTAGTCAGGGTTGGCAGCAAGTGTCTTTACCTAATGAGCCATCTTGATGGCCCAGCTTGGTATTTCTATAAGTTTTGAACACTGTAAATGCTGTTTGGGTTTGCATGTGTTGTAGTGTGAAGAGATGAGTGGAAAAAAAACTGTGCTCAGTTGCTGCTTCTCCAGACTGGTAGAGAGACAGGCTGGGCTGTGAGCAAGGGGGCACATACAGGGCTTTGATATTGATACTTCTTTTTCTTCTTTTTTAAAAGGTTTATTTGTTTTATTTTATGGGTATTGGTATTTGCCTGCATATATGTATGTGTACCCCTTATGTGCTTGGTGACACTGAGGCCAGGAGAAGGTGTTGGATCCCCTGGAACTGGAGTACAGAGTATTGTGAACTTCCATGGAACCAAACCTGGGTCCTCTGCCAGAGCAGCAAGTGCTCTTAACTGCTGAGCCATCTCTTCAGCCCCTCTTTTTCTTCCTTAAAAGAATTCTTTTTTATGATGCTGTGACTCAAACCCATAGCCTGATGAATGCTAGGCAAGGACTCTACCACTGAGTGACATCTCCAGCCCTGCTTTGAAACAATCTTACACAATAGTCCAGGCTTACCTAGAATTCACTGTGTAGTTCAGGCTGGCCTTGAAATTCGTGGAAGTCCTCCTGCCTCAGACTCCCTAATGCTAGGATTATAGGTGTGAGCCATCATGCCTGAGGCTGATAGTTTAATTCTTAAACAGAAAGATGGACACACAAGTGTTTGTTATTTTATTTTAGAGATGGGAAGGAGAAAAAATAGTATTGTGATGTTTGAAGCAAACCCTCTAGACCAGAGGTTTCAAACTCTGTACAGGGTTGGATGGATAATGCTGGAGGCTCTGGGGACTGTACTGTCTGTAGGAGCTCCCACAGAGGAAGTCTTCTCACCTCTCAGTGTGGCATGATGTTGCCCTAGACAACTTGCAGACAGACAAGTATGGCTGAGCTGAGTTCCCATGGAACTCAGTGAACAAAAGCTAGCAGGAAGGCCTGCAGGCCAGTCTGCTGACTTCTGCTCTGGACTTGTGTTATAATTATTCCCCAAACTCCTTTCTGTTCCTCCTGGTGTTTTATTGTGTCTCCATCTGTAATTGTTCATCATTGTCTTCCAAGAGTCTTGGGAAACTGGGAAGAATAGGTTTCCAGGAAGGACCTAGGTGGTGTTGGGATCAGTTTCTTTCCTGAAACTGCAACTCTGATCATTATGTTTGTTATCAGCCAATTTTGTCAAATTAATTTCATTTTTTAGCTTTTCTTCTCTCTCTCTCTCTCTCTCTCTCTCTCTCTCTCTCTCTCTCTCAGCAAAATTAGGTTTTCACACTTGAAGTCTACGAAGTCAGGATTTTTTTTGTAGGGATGGGGGATTGGCAAAATGTTTTGGAGGTTGTAGCCATGTAGTTCCAATTGAAGAGTGTGTATGAAAGTTCTGGAAACGAAGTTGAAGGCATGGACTTTGTTCCAGGATGACTACATGGAAGCGCTGGCCAGGCTCCATCTCACGGTGACCAGGGCCTATAAGGTGAACACTGACATCAACTTCGAGGTGTTTATTCACAAAGTGGATGGTCTGTCAGATGACCACAAAATTGAAACCCAAAGAGACATTCACCAGAGGGCAAATGATGACCTTGCAGATGCTGGATTAGAAAAAATTCACCTCAGGTAAGAGCAGAGACCCCTTAGGGTCCCAAGGAAGGGTGGAGCAAAATGGGTTTGGGCTCAAGAGTCACCATGGCTGGCTTGACACAGTTTACCTGCTCACCTGTTCTGTCCTGGGGTAGGATTTAGGAAAAATGTTTTGCACATGCTAATTCTAATCTTTGGTGAAAGTAGTGTCTTATTTTGCTTTTGTATTTATCAAGTAGTCAAAACTAAACTTCTCATCTCATGTTAATAACAATAAAACCAATGACTCTAATCCAAGAAGTTGATTAATGCTAAAGTAATTGTTCTTGCTAGCATGCTGGTATTTATTACCATAAATGGACTAGTTTTAGAATAGTTCAGATGGAATACAGAGGACAGTTTCGCCATCTCTCTTTGTGGGGTAAGCTAGTACCTGTATCATTCAGTATCAGTAATTTAAAAGCTATTAACTGGACAGTGGAGGCTTGTGTGGACAGTCAGTGTGGATTCTCTTGTAGAATGTAAGGACACTGGGATGACCAAGTATGGCTGCATTTTGAAGCTTGCCAATCAGTGGAGAATGGGTACAGTCTGGCACTTGGGGGGAGAAGGATGGCCTATTCAAACATACTTGTTTTTGATCAAGGTCATTGTGAATTCTTAAGGGGCTAATGTGTGTGTTAGAACTGTAGATACAGAAGATTGTGGTTGTGAACCTGTTGCCCAGTCCCAGGGAAACATGATGAAATACTGCTTTCTTTTTCAGCTTTTATCTGACAAGCATATATGATCACTCGATATTTGAAGCTTTTAGTAAAGTGGTTCAGAAACTTATCCCACAACTCCCAACTCTGGAGAATTTGTTGAACATCTTTATTTCAGTAAGTAAATAGTTTGCTCCTAGAGTCGTTTGCAGAATTTGCGAATAACATGCAAGAATGAATGTTTTTCCTGCCTCTGTTTCACTTAGGTATTGCTTTTGAAGATTACTCCTACACACTGTTTTAGACTCTTTGAAATTTAACTCTTTTGCCGAGCGTGGTGCTGCACACCTGTAGTCCCAGCACTCGGGAGACAGAGGCAGGCGGATCTCTGTGAGTTCAAGGCCAGCCTGGTCTACACAGTGAGTTCCAGGATGGCTGGGGCTACAGGGAGACCCTGTCTCAAAAAGACAAAAAAAAAAAATTTAACTCTCAAAATGTGTACCTTTCTGGTATGTGTACTTTACCTGGAGTGTCTATTCATGTTATAGGCAGTCATCAGAATTAATAGAGCCTTACCTTAGTTTGGGACTGGCTAGATGGCGCAGTAGCAAAGGTGCTTGCTGCCAAGCCTGATGACCAGAATTCAGTCTATGGGACCCACATGATAGAAGGAGAACCGACTCCCAAAAATTGTCCTCTGACCTCCACAAGCCCTCTGTGACACATCTGCACCAATACAGCATCCCCAACACATAAAAACCAGTAAATAAATGTAATAAAAAATGAAAAAAAAAAACCCTTAGTTTTGGTGATGAGGCATGTATTTGGATAACTTCTACATGTTTAACATAAGATGAGTGGTGAGTCTCATGTTTGTAAGCAAGCAAGCAGGGAAACCACTGAAGGAGACCATTCCATGGGCAGAAAAGCAGTTTATTGGGGGTGGGGGATAAACATCCGGGCTGTCTCACGGGAATAGAGAACCCAGAGGGGGAAGTTAAACAGGTTTTATAGGCCCTTCAGAGGCCTGGGGGTTCTGGCTGGCATAGGTAGACTGGCATTGATGTTCATCTGCCTGGGGTGGGTTAGCTGGTAGGACCAAGGAGGCTGAGGAAGCTTCAGTTTCCTGATAAGCGATGCCCTAGAGTCACCGGATTTCTGAGAAATGCTAGGCCTGTTTGTATTTTCCCGGTAGAGCCCCGCAAGGCTGTCTTAGAGCTTTGGCAGCTGTGCTGCCATCTTAGGGCCTTAACATTCCAGTCTTTTGTTGATAAGGGGCAATAGTGGTCTCTCTAGCTACTTCCTGCTGACCAGAAATGATGATAAAGGGAAGGGGGCGTCTCAAGAAGGCTGGAACATTGATCTGAAGTGTGGGATCAAGTGGGCAGGTGGTGGTAGGAAACCTGAGGGAATTCAGTTAAGAGTATCTGGTTCACTGACCATCAGTCATCTCATTGATTCCTTCCTGAAAAAATTTAGAAAGACATGGAACAAGTGGGCTGAGGCAGGAAAGGAGCCAGAGGCCCAAGGGAGACCATAGTGAAAACCTGGTATTGGAGTTGGCTCCTAGAGGCCACTGTAGTGAGTGAGCTCCTGTAGATTTCTGACCCTTTCTTTAACTTGTCCGGAGTAGTAGCACTCTTCATTAAGGAAGAAAGTGTCTCCCTTTTCAGCAATCAGCAGGTCAAGGACACTCTGGTTTTGAAGGACCACTGAGGCTAGGAAGGTGAGTAGGTTTTGGAGTCATTGTAGGGCTGAGGTTGACTCTTGATGTCAGCTAGTTGGGTGGAGATCTGCTGAGACAAATACAAGGTATGTCCTAGTCCCCCTGCTGCCAACCCTGTAGCAGCCACTGAGGTTGCTAAACTTACACAGCTCACTGTGTCCCATATGTGGTCTGGAGAAAGGTGGAGAATTCTCCTGTATACAGGGTAAGTTGAGGAACCAATAGGATAGGGAAGCAGGAGCACAGAGTGGTTGTATTTACACATTGGTAGAACTTCAACTGACACCAGAAGAGGATTCTCTCCAGTGCTCGAAAGCTTCCTGAAACAGACATTGGCATGAGCAGAGAAGGGGGCAAAGGTGAGAATGGTTATTGTAGAAACAATCTCCTGATGCCTCTTGAGAATAAAGGGGTATGGTGGGGAAGAAGGGGAGGAAACGGTCTCAGGGCTACAGGGTTTAGAATCTAGAGTTAAATTTGAAAGAAGAATTGCTGCTGCAAGAGATTGTTGTAAAGGGGCACAGAGGAAGCAAGAGGTTGCATTGAGAGTCTCACCAGTGTCCCTGTAGGTGTGAGGGAGTCCCAGGGAGTCATTTAGGGTAGTCATCCATGAAGAAGGGTTAAAGGAGAGGTCTCCAAGTTTGAAAAGTTCTGAATCCAGGTTGAATGCTGACTGTTTGATATTTTCCACTACAGCGTGGACAGGAGTGGATGTTGCCTATTCAAGGGACCTGAAGATTTTTATTTTCCTACTTCTATCAGGATCAAAGGTCCATGCTGCATATGCACGGCCCTTGACCCCTGTGGTCCATTTGTTGTCCCAGGGGTCTCTAATAGTGAAGGTGGCCTGCCATTTGCCGGACCGTCTTTAACTTCTGGATACAGGAGTTGCCTTATCCATTAGCAGTGTGGTGATATCAGCAGCTCCAATAAGGACATCCTCCCCAGTTGTTCTAGTTTATTTCTCCATTGCTGTGACAAAACACTCTGACCAAAACCAACTTGGGGAGGAAAGGGTTATTTGGCTTACATCTCTTGGGTCACAGTTCATCAGGGAGCCCAAGGTAGGAACTCAGGGCACAAACCTGGACGAAGGAGCTGAAGCACTGCTTATTGGCTTGCTCCCCTGGCCCATGCTCAGCCTGTTTTCTTATATAATACGGAACAACTTGCTCAGGGGTGGTACCACCGTGGGCAGGGCCCACAGTGGGCAGGGCCCTCCCACATCACTTAACAGTCAAGAAGATGCCCCACAGACATGGCCATAGGCCAGTTCAATGGAGGCAGTTACCCAGTTGAGGCTCCCTCTACCCAGGTGTGTTACATTAACAACTAAGGGTATCCAGCACACCAGTCTTTGTCTATTTTTTTTTTTTTTGGTCTTTTTGAGACAGGGTCTCCTTGTAGCCCCAGCTGTCCTGGAACTCACTATGTAGACCAGGCTGGCCTTGAACTCACAGAGATCCGCCTGCCTCTGCCTCCCGAGTGCTGGGATTAAAGGCATGTGCCACCATGCCTGGCAGTCTTTGTCTGTTTTATAGTAGGATTCCTTTTAATCGTTCATGAAGCACAGATACTTGGCTATGCCCTTAGCCTTTTGGCCATGGCCTATGCAGTTCATTCAACAGGCATCCTTGCTATTAAATGTACGGTGGATATTGGTGGATATTGGAAGCGCATCCTGAAGAAGGGCAAAAGGTATAGTTAAGAAGTTGTGTTTTTTTTTTTTTAAATACTGAACGAAATTTGGAATTTCCTGTCAACCCAAAGGGAGAGTGGGAGAGTAAAGAGAGGTCCCAAGAGGAGCAGAGGGAAGGGCCCATGTTAGGATAGAGGCTCGTCCTCAGAGATGGTAGGGAGGTGAGAAATTTTTAGTTTTAGTGGCCCTGTAGAATGGCAGGAGTACTTATCCAATGAGGGGTCTGAGGCCCTCTTAAGCTGGATCCAGCCTGTAAATCCCTGAAGTTTAACCACTGTAGGGGTGGTGAGGATGACCAAATGTGGGACTGTCCAGTGTGGGTGGAGAGCCTGAGGGCATGAGACTTTCCAAAAAGACCCAATCTCCAGGTAAGATGATTTGGATGATAGGATCCATAGAGGCCTGGGGAAGGGCATGATTAGCCTGCTCTCGAAGAAGACGTCTTAAGAAAATAAGGAGGGCAAGTAGTCATTGAGTGGGACTGATTCCAGGGCAATAAATTTCCCAAGAGAAAAGGACAGTCATACGTTCAAATGGGTTGAGGAATGAAGAGGCTTGTAGGGTACCCAAGGGTGTGTTAGGGCCAGTGGTAGGACTTGAGTCCAGGGAAGATGAAGTTCAGAAGACAGCTTTGACATGTAGGCTTTGATAAGTCTGTTATCCCTCTTTTCCTTTCCCAAGGACTGGGGGCCACAGGGGGTGTGGAGGTGCCATTGTACCCCCAGGGCCCTCAAGAGTAGCTGAGTGACCTTGGAGATAAAGGCTGGGCCATTACTGAACTGAATAGATCTAGGAAGTCCAAATCTGGGTACACTATGACTCATGAGGTAGGAACAGACCACATCCGCAGTCTCGACTGTAGTGGGGAGACAGGTCAAGGGAAAGAAGTGGCCAGAGCCTGATCAAAGAGGTGGAGGGATATCCCAGAACCCCTGAGGAAGGACAGTCCAAATATGCTGAGATGCTCTTCCACTATCAGGGTCCTCCCAGGAGAAGGCAAAGAAGGGTGTAGAGGGATAGTAAAGAAGGCATCCTTGAGGTCAAGAACAGTGGAGTGGTTGAGGAAGGGATCTGAGAGAGGAGAGGATGAGTTTGGTACCACTGGGTGAATAGGGAGGACAGCTGCATTGATAATCCTGAGATCCTGAACCAACCAGTAGTAGCTGTCAGACTTGAGGACAGGCAGGGTGGGCATGTTATAAGGTGAGTGGGTGGGCTTAAAGATACCCTTGCTCAAAAGGTGCTGTATGATGGGCTTTAAACCTTGTCTATGTTTTAGGGAAATGTGATAATGGGAGGGACAGGGATCAGAGGTAGGATCTAGAAGTGAAATTTTGATGGGAGGGTAATGAGAGGTTACAGACAGGGAGGAGGTTTCCCAGACTTTGGGGTCAATGAGGGAATCTGGAAGAGGGTAGGGTGAAGGAGGTGAGACTGAAGCTTTAGTTGGAGGGTCTTTGGGGGCTAGGAGAAGGAGGAAATGTCCAGAGGAGTTGAATGAAAGGAAAAGGAAAAACAGCTTAGTCATGATGTCCCTGCCCAATAATGGAGTGGGACAACTGGGCATAACTAGGAAGGAGTGAGCAATCAGATTGCTCCAGAGAGAACAGAGGAGGAGGTCTATGAGCCCTGGGCTGGTGGGGATGGCTGTCACCACCCATCACAGAGACCTGTGAAGGATAAGTTTTAGAGGAGTAAGCAGGAAGTATAGACCAAATGGACCCCCATATCTATTTAAAATGCCAGAGTCTTACCCACTATCTGGACAGTTACCCTGGGCTCCTCCGTGGTGGTCCTGATGGTTTCAGTAGCGGCTGAGGCCCCAGGTCAGTGTTAGTCTTTGGCTGCCAGGCCAAGATGATCTGCGAGGTTTTTCTGTGGAGGAGGGACTTGGGGGACTGACCTACCTTGGCATGGCAAAGGGGAAGTCAACTGTCCAGTGTCCTTCCTGTCCACAGTTTGGCAGGGGTCTGGTGGTGGGTGAGGTTTTGGGCAACTCTTTGCCCAGTGGCCAGTGTTGCCACCTTTGAAGCAAGCTCCTGATGGAGTACATTGTTGCCCCATCCTCTTCTGGGGAGGCCTCAGGGCTGCTGCCGGAGCTGGTATTTCTATCATGGGAGGCCTTCTCAATCTCATGTTCCTGCTCCTCCTGCCCAGTGAAGACCTTAAATGCCATATTCAGCATATCTCTGTGGAGGATTTGAGGGCTGTTATCTATCCTTTTAAGCTTTTTCCTAATGTCTGGGGCCAACTGAGAGATAAAGTGAGAGTTAAGGACTAACATGCCCTCCTTAGAGGCAGGGTCTAACTTTGTAAACTGAAGGAGACCTCCATGAGCTGAGGAAGGAACTCTGCAGGGTTCTCAGAGGGGCATTGGGTAATCTCCCTCAGCTTACCAAAGTTGATAACTTTGTGGGAAGCCTTTTGTAAACCTGCCAGAAGGCAGACAACCATTCTATCTCTTGCTGCCCTATCAGTAGAATGCCCCACTCATTCTCAGTATTAGTCACTTGGTAGTCCCAGTGGGGATCAGCACAGGGAACCACCACTGCCCCCACAGGATAGGCAGCATCTGTACCATGAATGTCATCCACATGTGCCTGTGCTACCATCCTTCAAACCCTTTCCTTTTCGTCAGGAGTGAGAGTAGAGAAAAGGATGATGTAGAGATCATGCCACGTAGAGTCATAAGCCTGAGTAAGATACCTGAACTCCTTAATGAAGGCAGTGGGGTCATTAGGAAAGGAGCCAAGGTGTTTTTCTATTTGGGAGAGGTCAGAGACATAGAGAAGGGAACATGAACACAGACTATGCCTTGAGTTCCTGCCACCTTCCTAAGAGGGTAGATTCTGTCTATGTAGGAACCAGTTCAAGCCACCAGAGGGGATAAAGGAGGAGATGATGAGGAAGGGGCAGGTGTAAGAGGCTGAGACTGGGGATCAGTATAAGGAGGTGGGGGAGGGTGATGGGTTGGGGTGATGCTCTCCGGGGAGCCCCATCCTCAATGTCAAAGTCAAGGGGTGAGGTACTTGGAATTTCAGACTTGGAGGGGATTGGATTTTGCTTTCGTCAAAAGAATCTGATGTGTGTGACAGGAGGCACAGAGAGAGGGGCAGGAGCAGAGGGCAAAGAAGGCTTGGACATAGGGAATTTTGGACCATTCGCCTGTGCAGTGTAAGAATTTGGATGTCAGCACTAACTTTACATGAAAGGCCTTAACACAAATGACAGAATATATGAACTCCAGTGTTGGGGGAGGTGCCAAATGGGAAGGGGATATAAAGATGATTCTCTATATGAAATACACAAAAATTCAACAGAAAATTAAAAAAAAAATTGGAAGTCAGAAGTGCCATTATCTGGCCATTGCAGTTGGCTATCAAGTTTATACTGTCGCCAAGTTGTGTTTCAGTAAAAAATAAAGTAGTGAGGCTGGACACTCAGTGTCCCTGAGTCCAAGGGGAGAGGGAGACTTGAGGAGGCAAGCAAGAGGAGGCTTGGAGTCGAACTTAGAATGGAAGAGCCCATGGTTAATTGGAGGGAGAAGGAGAAATGCCCCTGAAAAAAGGGTGGAAGTAGATGAGTCCCCGGACAAGGTTAATGGCAAAATACAGGAGGTTTAGGAGAAGGTTCTTCCACCCTCAGGTGTCGGAGACCTGGTACAGCAGGCCCACCAGGAAAACGAGGGTAAGAGTCCACACAGGTATCCCAAGCCAGATGAGTCAAGGGTCAGAAAGCACTGGACAGAGAAGGGAAGACAGAATAAGGATGAGAAAAAGATAGAAGAGGGTGAGGAGACAGAGGGTAAGTGCAGTTGGATAGGTCCTTGAGCCAATGGGCATCCCCAGTGGAACGAGATCCATCAAGAGAAAGCTTGAGTCACAAGGAACAGGCCTCCCTGACCAAATGACAGGCACCCAGGAGGGCATAGAGAGGCTGCCTGGCTTTCCAGCATGATGGGGGGGGGGAGCACGGAGGGAGGGAGGGAGAGAGAGAGAAAGAGAGAGAGACTGAACAGGCAGCTTCAAGAGGGAAACACCCAGGAGGAGGAAAGGTGAGTGAGCAGGGATAGGTGGAGAGGAAAGCAGCCGAAGAGGCGGACTCAAAATCTGGAGTTAATGTGGTGAGTGGCTGAAGCCAGCAGAGGTAAATGCTCTGTGCCATGGGAGGGTCTGGTTGGTAGTTTGCTCTGAAAGGAGGGACGGGGTCATAGGAGACCCAGGTATCCTCCCCGGGTTTTGGCAGCATATGTAAGTAAGCACACAGTAGGGAAACCACCGAATGAGACCATTCTGTGGATAGAAAAGCAGTTTATTGGGGAGCATACTGCCAGGCTGTGTCATGGGAGTAGAGAGCAGTAGCTAAACAGGGGAGGTTAAACAGGTTTTATAGACCCTTCAGAGATCTGGGGGGCTCTGGCTGTCATAGGTAGACTGGCAGCAGATGTCCATCTGCCTAGGGCACGGTTAGCTGTTAGAGACAAAGAGGCTGAGGAGGCTTGAGTCTCCTGATGAACAATGCTCTGGAGTCACAGGGTTTCTGAGAAACGCTAGGCCTGAGTTTCTGTTTTCCTGGTAAATGCTTGTGTGGCTATCTTAGAGCATTGGCAAATGTGCTGCTATCTTAGGGACCTAACAATGTGCTGCCCAAGAAGTTTACCTCAAATAAATAATTTGTGACAATTCTGCCTTTCATTTCTTTTTCAAGTTTGTTACAAAATTTATGACAACAGGGCCTGAAAAGATAGCTCAGCAGTTAAGGACACTGGGTGCTCTTGCAGAGGACCTGGGTTCAGTTCCCAGCACCCACATGGTCGCTATCAACCATCCATAAATCCAGTTCCAGGGGATCTGATACCTTCTTCTGACCTCTGTGGGCATTGCTGGACATGGGTGCACTTACACATATGCAGGCAAAACATAAAATACATGTGAGCCATAGCTCCAGCCCATAAATTTTTAAAAATTAAAAAACCATGACAGTAAATTTTAAATTGCAATAAAATGGCACAACTGAAATTTTTAGTAACTTAATTTTTGCTTACTTTTATTTTATACTGGGAGATGTCATAAATTTTTAAATTACAAAAATTTCACTGTATTTTTAAAAGTACTGTATATTGATTATACAAATCAGTAGATTTCACTATGAAATTTTTTTCTTTTTGTAAAACTTAAAAAAAATTAAATTATTTTTATTTTATGTGTATGTGTGTTTTGCCTGCATGTAGGTAAGTGCACCCATGTGGTGCAATGCCTGTGGTGGTCAGAAGAGGCTGTTGGATCCCCTGGGACTGGAGTTAAAAACAGTTGTTAGCTGCCATGTGGGAGCTGGGATTCGAACCCGAACCAAGGTCTTCTGCAAGAACAACCAGTGTTCATAACTGCTGAGCCATCTCTCCAGCCCCCACTATGACATTTTCATACATGCATATATTATGCTGAATCCATCCCACTGCCTCACTACCCTCTCACCCTCCAATGTCCTTCCCTTCCCTAATAGTTGGAATGGAACTTTATGTAACCATGAAATGATCTGAAATTGGCTGTTACATTAAGGCATATCTTTGTTTCTCTTCAGAATTCTGGAATTGAAAAGGCATTTCTGTTTGATGTGGTCAGTAAAATTTATATTGCAACCGACAGTACTCCAGTAGATATGCAAACTTATGAGCTCTGCTGTGATATGATAGATGTGGTTATTGACATCTCTTGTATTTATGGGTAAGTAAAACTTTTGTGCTCTCCTTCCTGCCATCCTGGGGGTATAGCTCAGCCATGCCCAAGGTTCTGAGACCAGCCCCAGTACTGCAGAAAAAGGGAGGGAAAAAGGGAAGAGGAGGGGAGGGGCATGAGGAGGGAAGAAGTGAAAGGAGGAAGACCATCCTTTTTATAGCTTCTGAGGCATTTTTTAATTTACTTATTTGACTTTAGTACTTTTGTTTTAAGTGACTGAGATCTATAAATAAGCCATTTAACATGCCAATAATAATAATAATGATAATAAAGAATTATTAAGTAAATGCTTATCATTATGATTAAAACTTTATTGCACATATCATATAATTTAATTCTCAACTATTTAACAGTTGCTTTCATTGTCAGTAAGGACAGAACTAGAATTTGAACCCAGGTTTAATGATCATGAGCCACTGCTGTAAAATTTGTCAATATAATATACCCTGTGGGAGACAAGTAGATCCTAAATAGGCATCCTATTAACATTTCTGTTTATCCTGTTTGTTACAAAAAAATACTGTAGCAGAAAAACACTGCTGAGTATTTTTTAAAAATCATTTAATTAATTCTGTAATCAGTAAGTTGTACAACACTGATCATCATTTAATTAGTGAGTGCACCCATGTCGTGCAATCCACGGAGGTCAGAAGAGGGCTACAGATTCCCCTGGAACTGTCGTTAAGGACAGTTCGTAGCTGCCATGTGGGTACTGGGAATCGAACGTAGGTCCTCTGCAAGAGCAGTCAGTGCTCTTAACCCCTGAGCCATCTCTCCAGCTCCTATTTATTTTTATTTTATGTGTATGAGTATATCGCCTGATGTAGGTAAGTGAACGCATGTGCAATACCCACAGAGGACAGGAGAGGGCGTCAGATCCCCTGGAACTGGAGTTACAGATGGTTGCTAGCCACCCTGTGGGTGCTGGGATTTGAACCCAGGTCTTCTGCAAGAGCAGCCAGTGTTCTGAACTGCTGCGCCATCTCTCTAGCCCACTGCTGATTTTTTTTTTTTTTTTTTGAGACAGGGTCTCCCTCTAGCTCCAACTGGCCTTGAACTCACTGAGATCCTCCTGCCTCTATCTCCCAATTGCTGGGATTAAAGGTGTGCGCCACCATGTCCGCCCTACTGCCGAATATTTTTAAAATATGCTTTTGTCTGAGCAGAGAATTATAAAACCAAGCAAATGACACCTGCTATTTATTGTTTATTATGGCCTTATGTTCACAGAAACCAGAACTTCTCATGTGCTTAAAATAATATCAAATGAAGAGTGGAGAAAGTTGTGTTACTAGAGATAGAAACAATTCCATATACTTAAGAATTTGCTGAACAAGTATTGTTCAGACGAGTGCATGTGAACTAGTTGTTTACCTAAGGATGCTGGACCCTTTATTTTATCCACCATGGGTGAAGTAAAGCGCATCCTCTCTACTCATAGCCTGGCCTGTTTCTCACAGCCTGGCCTGCCTCTCACAACCTGACCTTCACCTGCTCCATCAACTTCTGGAAGTTTCAGTCTTACTGTTTCTTATGTCTTCCACCATCTGAAGATCCTTTGCCCCCCCACCCCTAAACACACACACATGCTCTCATGTGTCCACACAGCACCTAGTCCCTTTGGTTATGGGATAAAGTGATATTTAACCTCCTAAGATTGTGGGAAGAATGAAAATACTATTAGGCTCATAATATCCCTGCCCTTGGTAGACCCTAGATAAATGGCAGTTGCCGTAATTTATCATCGTTATCATTAAACACTGACATCTGGTTTTAAAATAGACCTTTCCCCCAAGATTATTACTCTGTGGTAGTTTATTGTGTTGAAGCCTTAAGCAGATGACCTTGAATTAGACCTGGAGCTGAATGAGCCTGATTACAGTCTCAGTTTCTGTGGCAGTCAAGTACAATGAACACCACAAATAATCTGGCACATACTTAATGATATGCATGATCATTATGGTGCCCTATGTCAATTAGACACAAGAGGTGAATTGTTCCTGTAAATGATGTTAATCAGAGTTACTTTACCCAGCTAAAGCAAACAGGAGGAGGGAGGGGCCCAAAGGATGAGGCTGGTCTTTTCCAGCGATTGTTTTTCTGTGATGGAGTGCTGGTATTTTGAGAATCCACTGTATTCAGTAAGAACCAGTCTCCATCACAATGGTTTGTGGACTTTGGGGTTTCTTCAGCTTTCTGGAGCAGCAGTGAGCCAGCCCAGTTCACCAGCAGTGTGCAAAATGGGGATGTGTTTAGAGACTGGTGCCCTCATGGGCAACCTAGAGAGCAGGTGGCCCTGGAACAAGAGGTCTTACTGCCTTTTCTCAGCTGCCCAGGGAAGACCAGGTGCCTTGGTGCCTTGGAACCCTCTCTCAGCTAAGATGCTGTATAGGTAGCTCTACACACACACACACACACACACACACACACACGCACGCACGCACGCACGCACGCACACGGTCATGTGCATTCCATCATCATGCGTTTTCATTGCTTGTAGATGAAAAAAATTGAGCCGTAGAACAATTTTACTTACAAACTTAACAAATTTCTACTTGTAATTATTACTAAATCATATTACAGATGAACTTGAATAAGGAATCACCCTGACTCTTAGCATGTCATTTTAAAAGCTGAGAGTAAACCAGAACTCAGAGTCTCTTCCTTCAGATCTCTCTAGGAACTGAGTCAGGCCTCACCCATACTTTTGTTCAGACAGTCTCTCCAGCAGGAATTGGGGAACTACAAGCTTGGATCCTTCCTTATCTTTTCAGACTCTTGCCCTTTGATCCCTAGGCCTAAAATGTCTCACACACAATGCCAAACATTCTCCTCAGGGCTTCCAATGAGAATACGAATATGAATACCCTGCTTTCAAGCTCTTTGATGTGCTAATTCAAGCATACCCACTGTCTTGGGTGGAGGGCAAAAATGGGGTCCTGAGAGATCAAGATCTTATGCCCAGGACACAAGAGCACATGGCTCAGTGAGTTTCTTTACATTATAATATAAAGAGTAGCTTTTTGGTGCAAGGTTAAGTAAAATTAAGATTCTGTTCTCATTGTAAGTCACTACAGTAATTTTCTGGTTTTTCTAATTTGTTTGATGTTTAACTTTGTTGTGGTTATAAAAGTAATACATACTTATAGAAAACATTAAAAATAAAATTAAGATAGTTCTTAAATGTTCCCTAAGGATATTAATTAGCTCAGTGACAGGCATTTGCCTCACTTGAATGAGGTCCTGAGTTAGATCCTGAACTCAGAACAAAACAAAACAAAATCCAAAAATTCCCATGATCTCACTATCTAGAGACAGTCTTTCTTGTGACTGGAGGAATGAATCAATGGTTAAGGGCACTGACTGCTCTTCCAGAGGACCTGGGTTCAATTCCCAGCACCTACATGGCCATTGACAACTGTCAGTAACCTATGTTCTGTGGGATTTGATGCTCTCTTCTGGCCTCCACAGGCATTGACATGGGTGCTCTTGCATACATGCAGGCAAATTCCATACACATAAAAAAATGTAGCTATGCCTTAGTGTGTGATACATTTCTATAATCCTAATCCTTAGAGATAGGTGGGCTGAGGTGAGAAGATGGAGAGTTCAAGGCCAATGAGGGCAACATACCAAGATTTCATTTCAAATAAACAAACAAAAAACATAAATAAAAAGTTGTAAAAGTTAAGAATTTTGTTAAAGCATCTTTAAATATCTGCGATCTAACAGTTAAGAGATTTTTTCCTTAGAGCTGAACTGGCTGGGAATGTAGGTCAGTGATAGATCTTTTGTCTATCATGCACAAGACCCTGAATTCAATACCCAGTGTTTCAAGGATAGAGAGTGAGGAGATTTCCTTTTTGGCAAGTTATAGTAAATTTAGTGCTTAGTGGTTAAGAGCATTGGCTGCTCTTGCAGAGGACCAGGTTTGGTTCCCAGCACCCACATGGCAGCTAACAACTCTTCAACTCCAGGTTCCAGGGGATTTGACATCTTAGCATGTTGTGCGTTTTATATGTTCTCAGTGCTATGGATGTATCACTTCTTTAATAGAAAACTTGGACATAATTACTGACAGTTTTCAGATAAGGAAACTGAGGCCTGAAGATGCTATTCAACTTGTTCAAGCTTACATAGTAACCAGATTCTGTGTCTACAGACCACAGAAAATTATTACTCATACAATAAACTGTATACCTTCCTGGGGAGTTACCATTTTTTAAACACACTGACGTATTTGCTACATTTATTTTCCTAATACATATCCATCATTTATCTATGTTTTTGCTGAACTGCTTAAAAATAAGTTGTAGATTTCTTGATTCTTTGATCCTGGGTATGTGAGCATGTGTCTTCTAAGAATAAGGACACCTGTTTTACAGGAGTGCGGTTTAATTACCAAACTAAGGATGTCTCTCCTACTCTGTTACCTTATGTATAGAACAGTGCCACTTTTTTTTGTGGAGCTGGGAGATAGAACCCAGGCCTCACCTGTATAGACAAGTACTCTACCACTGAGATATCTCCCCAGCCTCTCAAAGGTTCTACCCCTTTTCTGGCCCAGAGTCAAGCCCAACAATGCCTGTCATGTCTGTTTGGACTCTATTTGAAAGTTTTTGCTCTTGGTTTTTCATCAGACCATAATTTGCCAACTGTTTTGTCATATAAAAACAAGATGCCTTTGGCTATGGAGGGAGAGGAGTTCAGCCCTACCTCTCCGCTGTGTTCCTCAGGTACCTGGAGAGTTGTCTAGCTGCCACACAGCTACTCATTGTGTTCTTAGGAGAGTGATTGTCATAGTTTCTGTATCTGTGGCTTTCTACTGCGATATTTGCCCAGAGACACTGCAAGAATAAATGACCTCATTAGGATGATAGTTTTCTGTGTTGAAGCTGGGGTCTGCCACTGGGTTGAAATTTGTAGTTCTTTTGGAAAGGTAAATGTGTTTTGGTTTCTGTTTCCATTTAGTCTCAAAGAAGATGGAGCAGGAACCCCCTATGACAAGGAATCAACAGCCATTATAAAGCTGAATAATACAACAGTTCTTTATTTAAAAGAGGTGACAAAGTTCCTGGCACTCGTTTGCTTTGTCAGAGAGGAAAGCTTTGAGAGAAAAGGTAATGTTTTTGGTGTGATTTAAAATTAATATTTCAGTTCATGCTGTCTTTGTTGCCTGTTGAACATGGGTGGACAAACAGCATGCCCTTGAAGTCTCCAAACTTTGGTCACTGCCCTTGACTGGCAGGCCTAAGGCAGGCTGTGTGTGGGTGAACAGATGAACTAGTGGGCCTGTCTGCTCCCTAGTGGCTGTGATTGGGACGAGGTGGAAGTGGAAACAATCCTTCCAGGGGCCTTAGCTTCAGGAGCACATGACCAGGGTGTCTTACCAGGATGGAGGGTTGACCTGGTCCACAGCTCTAGAAGGTCTCAGGTGACTGTGTGACTGTTGTTTACTCCATTAAAGGAGGGACCAGGACTCTTACAACGTTAGAGGCTGACGGTATTTGACTTCTGTTTAGCATTCATATACTCTTAAATCTTCAAATAACAGGGATGGTGTCATGACTCACAAAGCAAAGATACGAGCATATTGAATCACTCTGCCAGGCATCTTTTAAGGGTCACGTTCAGTTGTTTTTTTCCCTTAAGCAAAAAAGCAAATAACCTCATGTTTCTTTACTCTTTAAATGATAACCAATATGGCCAGGGATTTTTATTAGTAACTAGGGGTGTAGTTTACTAATTTTTAGGTTAAAAATTCTTTTTAACAGGGCTGGTTGTGTAGCTCAGTGGTACAGAGCTTACCTAGCATGCTCAAAAACTTTGATCACCAGTGCTACAAAAAACAAACAGAAAAAAGTAGAGATGAGTGAATCTTGGGGGGCTAGGAAACCTAGAGGGAAAAGTGATGTCCTAGAAACCCTATGAGAAATGCACATAGAGTGTCTGAACATTAATGGATATTTATACCTAGGAGCTGCTTGGTAGGGAATGCAGTGCCAGATAGACCTTCCTTAGAGTGACAAACATGCTGTACAGCTTTCATCAAAGAAGCTTCTTTTTGCAACAAATGGGACTCCTCTATGGAACCTCACTTACCCATGGCTCAGGGACCATTGTGGAAGAGGAGGCAGAAAGATTCTAAGAGCCAGGGCTGGTTCATGAACATAAGGAGGTGGAGGCTTCCAGGCCAATGGAGGCTTGCTCATGTGAGCCTGCGGCAGCAATGGCATCAAATACGGGACCCATGTCAGCTCAATTAAACAAGGGCCCAAAGGGGAGGTGAGAAATAGGTGGCAGGCCAGCACTAGACTGAGAACTATTTGAGACTGGTTGCTGTTGGGTGAGGGAGAGTATGACTTACATACAACCACCGGATGGGCTGACTAGACTCAGGTGGATGCATTTACACTGAAGGACATTTGGGTACAAACACCTGAATGAATAGGACTCAGCCTGTATGGCAGAGTGCATAGGGTTCAGTGGGGGATACGGGAAGCATGAGTGGGGGAGGGGGTATGGATTTGAGTGGGAAATTATGAAATTTTAAAAACAATAAAAAAAACAAAAACAAAAACAAAAAGCAAACAGAAACAATCCAGTGAAGTACAATAGTTACATTTACTACAGTGGCCTTTTTTCCTTATAAGCAATGAATGCTTGTTATAAAAATATTTTAAAATTTAAGAAAAATATAAAGAACAAGATAAAGCCACTTTATATCTAAGCTAAACCTCATGTTAACTTTCCGAGATTTTCATTTCTTGTTGATTGTTCTGTTTGTTTTTTTTTGTTGTTGTTGTTGTTCATTTTTGACAGGGTCTCCCTAGTGACAGCCTACCTGGAAGTCATGATGTGAACCAGGGTGGCCTCAATCTCTCAGATATCTAAGCTAAACCTCATGTTAAATTTCTGAGATTTTCATTTCTTGTTGATTGTTTTGTTTTTTTGTTTTTGTTTATTTTTGACAGGGTCTCCCTAGTCACAGCCTACCTTGAAGTCATGATGTGAACCAGGGTGGCCTCAATCTTTCAGAGATCCACCTGCCTCTGCCTACAAGGGCTGAGATTAAAGGTTCACCACACCTGGCGTCAGAGTTTCATTTCTTATCCTCTTTTCCCTCCTTTCCTTCATCCCTTCACTCTCAACAAAATGTACTGTATTATCCAAATGGTTTCATATCCTGTTTTTACTTTTTTCATTTAGGTTCATTGTAACAAAGCCAATAATTTGAATACTTTTAGTTCTCTGTCTGTGTGTATATGTGTGTATGGGTATGTGATGCTCAAGTATAGGCAGAAGCCCCATGTTTTCCTCTCTCACTCTCTGCCTTATTAGAGCCTCCCACTGAAATGGGTGCTCACCATTTTCAGCCAGACTGGATGACCAGCAAGCCCCAGGTATCCTCCTGTGTATACTCCTTCTCTAGGCTCCCACTCCATCTCCACCTCAGTGCTGGGGTTACAGGCACTTGTGGCCACACTTAGTTTTTATGTGGGTGCTAGAACCAGAACTCAGGTCCTCATACTTGCAGAGCAATTGCTTTTACCCATGGCGCCATCTCCCAAGCCCTGTTTGTTTTTGAGACAGGATCTTTAGCGCAGGCTGGCCCTGAACTCCTTGTATAGGTAAGGATGACCTTCTAACCCTCCTTCGTCTTATGAGTGCTGGAATTCCAGGCACCTTTTTTTTTTTTTTAAAAAAAAAAAATTCTATTTAGTTTTTGTGCATTTCATATAATAGATCTTTACCAAATTTAGACCCTGTCCCCGGCATCCACATCCCCCCATAACATCCCCCCACCACTGAATTTCATGAATTCTGTCATATATGTTAAGTTCTATCCTGTTAAACATTTGTATTCAGGTGTCCCTCAGTGCAAGCTCATCCACTGGAGTCTAGTCAGCCTATCTAGAAGATCTACTCTCCCTCATCCATCAGTAATCAGTTGCCAATAGTTCTTTGACTAGGGTTGGGACCTGCTTCTCATTTCCCTTATTCTGTGCTGGGCTTTTGTCTGAGTCGGCATGGGTCTTGTGCATGCTGTCACCATTGCTCCAAGTTTGTATGAGCAAGTTCCGAGTTGCCCGAAAGACTGTTTTCTTATGTTCATGTACCATCCCTGACTCTTAGAATATTTCTGTCTCCTCTTCCACAACGGTCCCAGAGTCATGGGTGGGTGAGGTTTAATATAGGAGACCGATTCAGGAACACCACACTCTGCAGTCTCTTGTTCTCTAAAACTTAAATAATTGTGGCCTCCTGTGTGCATCACACTCTGTTGTGTGAGGAAGCTTTGCTGGTGAGTTGAGAGATGTATTAGTATTCCCTCTACCCCTTGTTCTGCTATGTTCAGATATTGTATGTATATTTATGTATATTTTTCAGTGTGGGGGAGTTAATACATTTCCCTCTGGCTTTTTTTTTTTCCTGGTCTTTTTTTGAGGCAGGGTCTCCCTGTAGCTCCAGCCAGCCTGGAACTTTCTATGTAGACCAGGCTGGCCTTGAGCTCACAGAAATCCTCCTGCCTCTGCCTCCTGAGTGCTGGGATTAAAGGCTGGGATTAAAGATGTGTGCACTATCACGCCCAGCTCCCTCTGGCTGTTTATGACACATAAGCTTCATTTATCCCCCCCCTCTCTCTCCCTGTCTAACCTCCCTCAGGCACCCTTTTTAAAGAAATTGTTTATTTTTTATGTGTATGAGTGCTTTATCTACATGTAAGTGCACCACATGCGTGCAATGTCCATGGAGGCCAGAAGAGGGCATCAGATGCCCTGGAACTGGAGTTAAGGATGGTAGTTAGCCACCATATGAGTGCTTGGGAGCTAAGCCTGGGTCGTCCACGAGGGCAGTAACTGTTCTTAACTGCTGGGTCATATCTCTAACCTCATGCCTACCCTTTTGATCTGAGGAGTTCTTCCTGAAATTTTTCCTGGGAAATAGTAAAGAATATACAGAAAAACAGTGCAAAGGTCTTCATAGTATTATGTATAACATTAAATCTAGGGAAAAAATTGTATCTACAAGTAGATGGATTTAATACACCCATTAACGTGTACTACCATACAGTGCTAGATATTGAACCTAAGGCTTTGTGCATTCTAGGCAAGCACTGTACCAACTAAGCTATATCCACAGCCCATAATTTGTTAACTTTTAATGTTTAAAACTGAGCATCATCTTTCCAGTAAAAAAAAAAAAAGAAAACTTAAACAAGTTTCAGATGAAACTAGTTCCAGATGAAACCCTGCAGGGTCTGCTGCTTTGTTGACAGAGGGTCAGGGCTCAGGTCTTGTGAGGAGAGATATTTTAAAAGTATCATTGTAACTGGAAGGATGTCCATTCAACATCACAACTAAGCATAAAGTTGAAGCTATGATGTAGAATATCCATTAATGCCAACATCTCAGGCTCGCTCACGAATATGGGGACATCATTAGAAGGGGTAGACATAATGGCCCTTTTGGCTCCACCCTTCAAGTTAGGCCCCTGCCTTCTCCTTGAAGATCCCAGTAGACTTCATAACATACTTGGCACTAGCATCATCACCCATTTGATGTTGGCGGGATCTTGCTTCTGGAGGATGGAGATGGCCTTCCCACTGATGACAAATTTCCCATTCTCAGCCTTGATTGTGCCATGGAACTTGCCATGGGTGGAATCACACTCGAGCATGTAGATGTAGTTGAGGTCAATGAAGGGTCATTGATGGCAACCGTATCCACTTTGCCAGGGTTGAAGGCAGCCCTGGTAACCAGACACCCCAGTACAACCAAATCTCTTCATGCCAACCTTCACCATCATGTCTCAGGAATGAGGCTAGCATGAGAAGACGCAGCTGTCTCTGGAATGGGGAGGAGCAGAAAGCCGGTTCTGGGTTTTGAACTTAGGTCATCAGGCTTGCATAGCGAACACTTTTGCCTGCTGAAGCATCTTGACAACCCTTGATTTATCATTTATTTATTTATTTATTTATTTATTTATTTATTTATTATTTTATATTATGTGTATAAATGTTATGCCTGTATGTGTATAAGTGCACCCATGTTATGCAATGCCCATGGAGAAGAGAAGAGGGCATCGGGTCCCCTGGAGCAACTGGAGTTACGGATGGTTGTTAGCCACCATGTGGGTGCTGGGATTCAAACTTGGGTTTTCTGCAAGAACAGCCAGAGCTCTTAACTGCTGTGCCAGCTCTCCAGCCCTTCTTGATTTATCTTAATTGTAATTAGTCTTTAATTCTGAATGATAAAAAATGTGCAGTTCAGCGGCTTTTCAAATCCTTTGTGTCCTAGACACCTTTGGAAATGTGGCAAAAACTTGAGAAGCTTTCCTCAGGAAACACTCACCCTACCGGTAGTTTCTGGCAGACGGCCCAGGCCCTTTAGCTGTCAGCTCCTCCGCTGCCCCGTACTGGCTTGCCCACATGAAAAGATAGAGATTCTACTTGACATTTAGAGATGTTTTTGTTCTCTCCTCCAGGGCTTATTGACTACAATTTTCATTGCTTTCGGAAGGCCATTCATGAAGTTTTTGAGGTGAGAATGAAAGTGGTGAAGTCTCGAAAGGTTCAGAGTCGGCTTCAGAAGAAAACAGCAGCCACTCCTAACGGGACCCCTAGAGTGCTGCTGTAAGCGTACCAAGAGCACCTGAGACCAGACCTTTTTGACAAGGCTGCTGTACCATGTCACACTACAGAGAGAGGAAGAAGGAGATTGATACCCATCATATGGATGTATTGTGAAGGAAAAAACTTACTCTTTTTAAAATAAAATAAGCACTTTGAAGCAAAAACTTGTACAGTAACACTAAAGTGAAACCCACTCTACTGTTACTACATAAATGTAAACTTTTATGGTCAGTAGTCAGAAAAATCCCCTGTGAGAACTGCCAGGAACTGTACATATTTTGCACTTTTTCGTGGTTTTTCTCATTGAACTGAAGTTTGATAAGGTGACTTTTCTAAATCCTTCGGTACCTGGTGTCAAGGACATGTGTACTGTAGTCCATGTGGCAATCAGAAATTAATCAAAAATGATACATTGGTACTGACTTTTTGTAAATTTGGGAATCTTTGCTACCAGTTGTTGAGAAAAAAAAATAATTTTTCAGTGGAGTTAGAACAGATTGGGGCTGGAGGCTCCAGGAGCAATAAACACTGTCCCCCACTATCCCCCATGTGTAATGAGTGTAAACAGGAATTTTGTAAAAAAAAAAAAAAAAAAACTGTTAGCACCGAACTCATGTAAACGTCTGTTATCTGTGGCCATGCTCTCCTGCCCGTTTTGATGAAGCCCTTACCTCAGCACACACTCTGGCATCATTGTCTGCAGACGGGAGGTTGCTTTTTGCTGCACTGCTATTCTGTAAGATCTTTGGGACCAGACTCCAAAGTGGTGCCAATTAGTGGAGAGAAGTACGAGTGTTCTTTGAGGACAAATGGCATGGATTTGTTGTACAAAAAATTTCTCGAGGTGCTTCTGTACCTGCTGATGGGCTAAAATAACACCAGAGGCCATGAGGTTTCCCAAATGTAGGTGGTTGGCCACTCAGGACTGAAAACTAACACACACACACCTCTCCCTCTCTCATGCACACACATTCTCTCTCTCTCACACACACACCCACACCTCTCCCTCTCTCATGCACACACATTCTCTCTCTCTCTCTCTCTCTCTCTCTCTCACACACACACACACACACACACACACACACACATACTCATACACACTTAAGCTTGGTCCTAGTTCCATGCTGGGCCTAGCCTGTGTGCATACTATGTCTGTGCCCATACCATGCCTACCTGGCTTTGACACCTCCAGCCCCTTCTGGCTCATTGGCCATGTCCTGCCTCTCCTTTCAGTCTGTGACAAGGCAATTTGCTGAAAGCCAATTCACAGACTAGTCAATTTGTAGAATGCCAAAATCATCAAAAGGCCTTGTTTTCCATAACCTTTTCATTTTAGCTGACTGGTTTCCATTTTTGTCACACACACACTCTCTCCCTCTCACATACACACAGTCTCTCTCACATACACACACACAGACATTCTCTCACCCACACACACACACACATACATACACATTCTCTCTCTCACACACACACACTCACATACACACATACTCTCACACACACTCTCCCTCTCACATTCAAACACATTCTCTCTCTCTCTCTCTCTCTCTCTCTCTCTCTCTCACACACACACACACACACACACACACACACGGGCGTGTGCCTCTCCACGTTTGGCTCCTGAAGTCTTTGTTCAGGACCAGTTTTTTATTGCTCCATGATGGCAGTGAGTAGAGCAGAACTTGTGTGTCCACCATAGAGCTTAATCCTATTGGCCCTATTTGTTCCCTGAGTCACCCTTTCATCTGGGATAATGTGTCTCCTGTTCCCACCCCTTCCCACCTGTTCCTACCTGTAAGTTCAGCTTGCCACCACCATGCTCTGCAAGGCAAACAGCCATCAGGAAAGCCCTTGACCAGTGGGGGAAAAGATGACTTGAGGTATGATAGTTAGCTGTGTTTCCATGAAGTTATGTTTACCTTAGACCAGCAAGGGATTGAGTCCTAAATCTATCCCATGCTAAACCATTCTAAAGGTTAGCATTCATGTCAGGTGTGTGTGGCATTAGAAATATTCTTTTTTTAAAGTAGAATTTTCTAAAGACCTCAAATCTGGTCCTGCAAAAATATGTGAAATCCTTAGAGCAACTTGTCCCCAACACTGACTTGAGTGGCTTCTTCCCACCATCCTTTCTCTCCCCTCTCCCCAAAACCTGCACTTTTGTTTCCCCTTTGATTTTTTTTTTTTTTGAGACAGAGTCTCCCTGTAGTCACAGCTAACCTGGAACTCACTATGTAGACCAGGCTGGTCTGGATTTCATAAGCTCTGCCTGCCTCTGCCTCCCAAGTGCTGAGAGTAAAGGTGTGCGCCACCACACTGGGCTTCAAGAAATTGTAGTTTTGAAGCTGGTAACTAAAACTGAAGGTGGTCAGCTGAAGATGGATGACTGAGGTTTCCAAGGTTTGAGACTCCAAAGATTTCTAGAAATCGTTACGCCATCATCCCTCCTCCTTTATTATTTCTGCTGAGAAACCTGGATAAGTAGGTAGGAGCCTGCAGTTCCAGGCACGTTTTTGTTTTCTCCAGTTTTCAGAGCATTTCCCTGGTGGGCTTCTGCTACAAGCCCTGATATATGTGGGTTACTCTTCATATTCTCATTCTCTCTCTCTCTCTCTCTCTCTCTCTCTCTCTCTCCACACACACACACACACACACACACACACACACACACACGGGCAGCTTGTTTGCATTGTTTTCTGAGCCAGGGTCTGATGTAGTCCAGGCTGGCCGCAAACGTGCCATGTAGCTGAGGATGACTGGGTGGCCTTCAAACTTCTGGTCCTCCTGTCTTTTCTTCCTCAAGTGCTAGGATTACAGGAGTACACCCATGCTTGGTTTACGCACTGCTGGAGATTGAACCTAGGGCTTTGTGCATGCTGGGCAAACACTCTACCAACTAATCTAACATCCTCATTTCTTAGTAAGCTCCATTTCTTGTTACTTTTTACAAAATATTTCTCTTTGAATAAACAAAGAGTTGAATTTCTAATATAACTTTGTTTTCAAGATAAAGACACTTGCCTGTCTGGTAAACCACAGAAACTATTGTTATGATTAAGTGGCACTTCCATTTTTTGGCTGGTTATATGATGGGTTTTTGTTGAAATGTGCCTTAGAAGCCTATTACTTCAAGAGCATGTGATTCTTTGGTGAATAGGCAAAAATAACCCTGTGACATAGGACCCAAGTTAACGATAGTAAATGTACTCTTAATCACATGCTAATACTGATTACTGCCTCAAGCCCTAAGTGTGGCCATGACCTCTTAGAAAGATGTAGGAGATAGGTCTGAATGGTGAGGTTTTCAAGTCTGCAGTTAGAATTACAAGATATCTTTGTTCTTTTTGTATTTCATCTTTGATATAGGAATTAGTTTAATGCATTATATGTCTGCATTTCGTACTCAGATGTGACTACACACAGAAAGGCCAAACCCTGGCTACTGTGGCTGCACTAGAACATTTTTGTTTGGTTTTAAGAGTCGAGAACTTGACTTGTGGGTTTCTAGAGCAGGACAGTCTTTGCCTTTCGAGTCAAGTACAACTTCTGTCTAGTGGTGAATTATTATCTTTGGTTAATTTTAGTGATGTAGATTAGTGTGAGTGACCAATATGGAGTGCTTTTGAAGGAATATAAATAAAAATTGTTTAATATTCATCAAGTGTTATTTTGTGAACATAATATATTTTGGACCCTTAAATATGAATGACTAAAAATCACAGCAATACTAATTATGTATGGATTGTATGCCAACTCTGTTTGAAACAGAATCCAGACAAAAGATGGAAGCATTGTGATTATTAAAGTACAGTGTGCATTCAGCAAGCACAGACTGCGTGTGGTTTGTAGTCAATGGAAGCATTGTGATTATTAAAGTACAGAGTGCATTCAGCAAGCACAGACTGCGTGTGGTTTGTAGTCAAGCGCGCAGTTCCAGGCACGTTTTTGTTTTCCCCAGTTTTCAAAGCATTTCCCTGATGGGCTTCTGCCACAAGCCCTATGTATGTGGGCTACTCTTGGGAGTCTAATTCATTCTCTCCCTCCTCCAGCACAGAGAGGAGGGGAGGGGAGGAGAGAGAGAGAGAGAGAGAGAGAGAGAGAGCACTTGTTTGCGTTGTTTTTTGAGACAGGGTCTGATATAGTCCAGGCTGACCTCAAACTTGCTGTGTAGCTGAGGATGACTGGATGTTTTACTTTAGGCAGTACATTATTTATATTAAATTAAAACATCGCTTTCAGGAATGTTAACAGGCGCCTTAGAAGCATGTATTGATGACTTGGTAAGGCTCTCACTTTATTTCAAACATACTCATAACTTAGCTTTCTGGGAGCGAAGTGGTCTCTTCAGTTAAAAGTATGACCTTTCATATTTAAGAGGATGTTCACCATGTACATACATTACTGTTTCATTGACTATCAGGTTCATTTAGTAAAAACAAATCCAACTCTTTTTGTTAAATTGATCTTTTTGAGACAGGGTCTCCCTGTAGTCACAGCTGGCCTGGGACTCACTATGTAGACCAGGTGGGCCTCAATCTCACAAAGATTTACCTGCTCTGACTCCTGAGTGCTAGGATTAAAGGTGTGCTGTACCACACCAGGCTACAAATCCAACTTTTTTGGAGGGGGGGGGTGTTGAGACAGGGTCTCCCTGTAGCCCCAGTTAGCCTGGAACTCTGTATAGACCAGGCTGGACTTGAACAGAGATCTGCCTGCCTCTGCCTCCTCTGCTACCATGCCCAATTGAGATCCAACTTCTTGAGATAGGGGTCTCATATGTTGCCCAGGCTGGTCTTGAACTCTTGGCTCGGGATCATCCTGCTCCAGCCTTCTGACTACAGGTTTGTACCATGTTTGGTTATTTTTTGTTTGTTTTGAGACAAGGTCTTACTGTATAGCCTTAGCTGAACTGGAGCTTGCTATATAGACCAGGCTGGCCTTGAACTCAGAGAGATCTGCCTTCTGCCTCCTGAGTGCTGGAATGCCACAAGGCCAGGAGCAAAATTTATCTTAATTATCTAGTTCTGATTTGCATAAGTAAAGATAACTCATTGTTTAAATTGAACTTATACTTTTGATTTTTTTGAGACAGGGCCTTCCTGTAGCCCCAGCCAGCCTGAAACTTACTATATAGACCAGGCTAGCCTTGATCTCACATAGATCCACC